GGACCTTTTCTGCTCCCATTTAAGTCAAACTGGATACTTATTTCCTTCCTTCAGGTCATTGTACTTCTCCAAGATTTCAGAAAGTAAATGCTGTTGCGAAGCATGGAAGTTCCTTTCAGTGAAAAGCCCGCACCTCTGCAGTTTGTATAACTCAGTCTTTTGCAGGGGCTTTTAAAACCAGCCAGTGAGACTGGGGGACGGTCAAGGAAAAGCTTAGATGGATTCAAGGTTACGGGGAGAGGCTGGACCAAGTGAGTTGGGTGGTCCTGAGTTGCCACTCTTCTGTGTTCAGCTGGGCTGATTCTTCTTTCTTGGTTGGTTGGCCATACTTCCTCGTTAGTAGTTTGTGGGAAGATACTGATTTTTCTTTTCTTTTTTTTTTTTTTTGAGACAGAGTCTCACTGTGTTGCCCGGGCTAGAGTGCCGTGGCGTCATCCTAGCTCACAGCAACCTCAAACCCCTGGGCTCAAGCGATCCTCCTGCCTCAGCCTCCCGAGTAGCTGGGACTACAGGCATGTGCCACTATGCCCGGCTAATTTTTTCTATATATTTTTAGTTGTCCAATTAATTTCTTTCTAATTTTAGTAGAGACGGGGTCTCGCTCTTGCTCAGGCTGGTCTCGAACTCCTGAGCTCAAACAATCCACCCGCCTCGGCCTCCCAGAGAGCTAGGATTACAGGCGTGAGCCACCGCGCCCGGCCTGATTTTTCTTGAGTGAGCTAGGAGGCCCCAGTGATTTTCAGTGGTGTAAGTGGTTTATTCTCAAAAAGGTACTCAGGCCGAAGGGACGCCCTCCTCATATCCCGAGTCATGGCTGTCACCGCCCGAATCACCTGCAGGTTCAGCCCCCAGGTTGGGCATATTCTGTATGTGTGTGTGTGCATGCGTGTGTATATATGTGTGCATAGTGTCTCACATGTTGTGGACAGTTAGAATTGAGCGGAAACAAAACCCTGCCACGTGGGCTTAACAGCCAGTTTTCTTTGGGTCCTGGAGTGGCGTGCATCATAGCACATCTAACCCCAGTCTACATTGTTGTTTTGTTTTCTTTTTTAAACCACACTCTTGACCTGACAAAGGAGAACAGTTTGGAATTGGGAGCACAGAGAAAAAGCAAAGTGGAAAAAGGAATTCAAAACTTGGGTTCCCCCCTTCCCAATGGGAGAGTTCCGTGACAGAGGCGGAGAGGGTTGGGGAATTCAGGATTTGCGTGGGAGAAAAATTTCCTGCCTGGCGAGGAGAGCAAGAACTCTGAAAGAAGGCAGCGCCTTTATTGAGTGCACCACTGGGATTTGTGCCTTGGTGGATTCTTCGTATATTACAGTGAATTTAATTAAATACATTGTGATCCCAATTGAGGGTATTCTAATTAGCTGGGTCAGGAACAAATTATTCTCCCTCCTTCTCCAAATGAAAACATCTCCTCTCTTCTGCAGGGGAAGCATGTTCTTGGCTGGCTGACTTGCCCCGTGCCGTCCTCATGTGCCTCCTTCACCCCACTCCCTCCTGCTCCTCATGAGGCAGGGTCCAAGGGTGGGATTCTGGGCATGTGGCCAGTGCCACCTCGGAGGGAGAGAGGATCCGACCAACAGGGGGTTGCCCCACTCAAGGCCTGGGAAATGAGCAGAGGGTGTGGGAAAGGTCACAGAGGCCAGTGACCCTGCTGCTAGCTTTGGGTTCCATGTTTCCTCCAGGTTGGACAGCCTGAGAAGTAACAAGGAACTTAGATAATTTGGTGAGAACAGGATTTGTCACATGCAGGTAGACATGAGTAGACCTAGGTACCCAGAAGTTTGGGTTGGGATGTAACCTTTATAAGCAGGTGTTTCCTAGCAAACAAGATATAGTTTATTCTGGATTTTTTTTTTTTTTTTTAAGTATCTTGGAGAATGAACTTAGAGTGCAAAGCAAGCTTGGAATTTTGAATTAAACTTTTGTAGAAATCTCTAAAAGAGGACCCTAAATGTTCCCTACAGCGGGACAGGTGGAAGGGGTTGTGGCTCCGTTCTTCCCTTTTCCTTTTATTCTCTTCTGCATGATTCGTAGTGTCTGCCCATTTCCTTCCCTAAACGGCGCTCAGATGGCAGACGGAATAATTCGTGGTGGTATGAGAGATCATAGTTTACCAATATGAGCTTGAGTGTAGGGTAGTTTTGGAATATCTTCATTATACCGTATTTTGAAAAGTGAGGGTTCCTAGTATGATGTTTATTTCAATTCAGGATAGCCCTATCATGCAAGAGCCCATGGATTTGAGGACAGAAGACATATGACATCTCAATTCCAGTCTAACTCTTTCTAGCCATGTGATCCTTCTCTTCTGGCTCCTAGATGGAAAACCCCAGCCATTTGGAATAGAACCTTCACATCCATATTAAAATTTTATGTTTAAAATTCAGTGCCTTATTGCAAGGCAATCTTGTTTCGTGGGGAGGTAGCGGGGGTTTTGGGTAAGGCTTTAGTGATTCTTGCTCTGACGTCATGGTTTCTTCTGCCTCCAAAATCCCTTGATGGAACTTACTGCTTGGATTCATGGTTATTTTCTCTGTTATCTTTTATTCACTCCATTCTAGTTGAATCTTTAATAAATATAATTCTTTTGGCCTTAGTGACCCAAGACAACAGTTTCTGGCTCTTGTACAGGTTTCCTCCTGCTCGGTCCCAGGCAAAACCCTTGTTCCCAGGAATATCCCGGTCCAGTTTTTGGCTTCCGAGGGGCCCTGTGGAGAAATTTGGGAGAGTGAACATGGGCAAGCTCGTCTTTTCCTTCGCATCCACCCTCCTTCTCCCCAGGGTCATGGCCTCCAAAAAGCATCGCCTTGGCACATCCCATCCTCCTGAAGTCCTCTGCAAGGAGCCCTATGTCACAAAAGGCAAATTGAAGATAAATCATTTTTTAAAAATCAGCTCAAATTTAATTGAAGTTTTTTATTATCAGTTGTTATTTCTTTAAAAGTTAACACCGAGCTCACTGGTTCTCCCAGCTTTTCCTGGTTTGAAGCGTTCTAGGGCAATCATAACTGGTAGGGGTCTTGGTTGATTCCAAGGCTCTGCATTTGAGTGCGTTAAATCACCCATTTTGGAAGACAGAAGGGATTGTTCTCAGTTGGGGCCTGTGAAGCCCTTCAGATTCTTACCTGCAAGGTGGCGAGATTTCCTGGGGGAGCGTTTTAGCCAGTTTACGTGATTTAGGGCCTCGACCCCCTTCTGGTGAGTGGTCCCTGACACTTAGTTGATACATTCATATTTCTGCTTCCAACAAAGTGCAAATATGCTTCTGGATTTTTCACACTTGTTCACTGTACACAGGATGTGTGTGTGCCAGCGTGTGATCCTCAGGGCAGCGTCCTCGATGGCAAGCGCTCCCAGGGCCACTCTGGTATTCTCAGCATTGTGTGGAGTGCAGGGAATCCTAGCTAGTCCAGCCGCTCGGTGTCTGGCATCCTGAGCTGGACGAGGAAGAGATGACCAAGCAGGATCAGAAAGTGTTACCAAGGCACGGACATCAGACAGAGGCACGTGGGTGAGAAAGCGCTGGCAGCACCGAGCAGGTCCAGGGCGTTTGCTGTGTGCTCAGCGTAGCTCCTTGGGCCAGGCGTGGGTGGCGGGGGGTGAGGAGGAAGAGGGAAGGACAAATAATCACGTGAGCAATAAAACACTTTGATTGTCTGACTTTCCTCCTGCAAAAGGATGCTGGGTACGTGGTGTGGGGGAGATAAGCTCCCGGTTCTAGTTCTCCCTCACCCACTAACTAGCTGGGTTACCTTGGACAGCCACTTAAGCTTTTCAGGATTGTTTTCCCTGCTTCCCGTGTACCCAGTAGAAAAATTCCCTCTTCCTCTAAAATCTGTCAATTGAAATGAAGGAGGTGGCCTTTCTCTACCAGGAGCTTGTCCATTCTATACATGGTAGTGTAAAAAGTGTCCGTAGTGTTCATCATATTCCCAGGAGGCCCAGGAAACATGGTGAATTTTGTTCTGGCACGATCTTTAAGTCTTCTCCCAGACACAGGGGTCTGGGGTCTGTGACTATCGCTATGACTCTTGCTGTTCTTCCACCCCACACTTAGATCTTGCGTGCCCGCTTCCTGCTGGCTCGTGGCTTCCGTGCTCCGGGATGAGTACTGTGTCTGCTGAACACAACAGGGAATGTCATTTTGACTGTCTGATGGACAGGATGACCAATGATAGTGACCAGTGATAAACCAGATGACCTTGAGAGATCGACAGGGAACTAGTCTGGAGAAATTTATTTTTCTGTCATGTTTTAATCCAGTGGGAAACCTAATTTTGGGTTCTCCCTGTAGACTGTAGTTTTAAATACAAAAACCTGAGTGTTTTTTTCTGTGTGAAACAGCCAGATCGCAGCTTTGGCTCTCTGTTACTGACTTAAGGTGCTGAACAGCTAGGGTGATCATAGGCTGTCCCTAAAGCAGGGGTTGGCTGACTTTTTCTGTAAAGGGCCAGTAGTAATAACTTAGGCTTCGTGGACCATGCCATCTCTGTCACGACCGCTCAACTCTGACGTTCTAAAGCAGCTGTAGGCAGCATGTAGATCAGTGGACTTGGCTGTGTTCCAGCAACACTTTATTTACAAAAACAGGCAGCAGGTTGAATTTGGCCTGCGGGCCGTAGTTTGCCAACCCCAATCTAACTAAAGCAGGACACTTTGGGGAGAGAAAGGGGGAACCTTGAATAATTGTGCCAGGAAAACCGGTGTTACGCGGGGAGGTTCCATCGGGTCAGCAGCGTCGTGAGCGCTCTGGAGAGCCTCATGGGAGGGGACGTGTAGGGGAGACAGAATGGGAGTCAGCGTGCTGCTCGACTCCAGTGAACTGTTGGAGAAGGTGCATTGGGGAAAACGAAAGCAGCCGCCCTAAGGAATCTTAAATCGACAACCATCCTCTTGGGCCGTGGCTGTGACCAGGATGGGGTGGGTTCATGGCAATGCCTGGCTTGGAGCAGCTTACCCAAGGCGTGTCCCTCTCCCGTCCCTTGCAGCACCTGCAGCAGCACGAGAGTGGCGTGGAAGGCGAGAGCTGCTACTACCACTGTGTCCTGTGCAACTACTCCACCAAGGCCAAGCTGAACCTCATCCAGCACGTGCGCTCCATGAAGCACCAGCGGAGCGAGAGCCTGCGCAAGCTGCAGCGGCTGCAGAAGGGCCTTCCGGAGGAGGACGAGGACCTGGGGCAGATCTTCACCATCCGCAGGTGCCCCTCCACCGACCCAGGTGAGTCGCCTCACAGGCATGGGCGGCCCAAGGTGGGCCTGGCCCTCGTGTCCATGACTGACCTCACAGATGACCATTGTGTTTTGGAAGGAACGTGCGTCGATTGTTGCTTTGCTTTTTTGCCTTAAGCTTAGCACCACTTTTCTTCAGGTGCACACTCAGCCTTAAGGAAGTCACAAGCCACTACCCAAGGAGCGGCCAACAGAAGAGATTCTGTCCCCTCTCCCAAAGGTCCTCCAGTATATATGCTCAGTTCCATTTATTGGTTCAAATTGACACAGCAAATACTAAGTAGCGTGCCTTGCAGTATTAAGGATAGACAGTGTGTGGCTTCAGAGTCTGGTCTGTAGAAATGCACTTTGGTGCCGATCAAAGCAAGTGCTTGTTGTACAAATTTCAGTTGTATTTGGGAGCAATTCTCGTTATTCAGCGGGTGAGTGCTGTGTGCTTCCTCCTGGTGTCACCTTCCAGCGGGAGCTCGCCTCGTTTCTACCTCCCGTCCGTCATCCCGTCTGCAGTCACCTTCCTCTTCTTCTCTCCCCTTTGCGCTTGGTGACTCTTATTCCTGCTGGGACCTCGTTTGGTAGAATCACCTCCTCTCTTCAACTTTTTCAATCTTTTCAGTCCCTTTCCATCAACTTGGAAGTACAAGACAGTCACTTGCATCTTTAAACACAATATAACAAACACGTTTCCTTACTCCTCAGTCCCTGCACTCTCTCTACAGCAGAATCTTCAAGATCCTTGAGAGGACGCTCTGCAGTGCTCATCTCTAGTCTACGCCTCAGCCTACCTCTGCCTGTTTCCTGCAGTCACCAAACCACCTTGGGAAGGGCACTCACCTTCCATGTACCCACCCCAGGGCCCACTGGTCCTTATTCTTTTCTTTCTATGGTATTTGAAACTGTTGCCCAGTCCCTCCTGGAAGCTCCCTTTCCTGAGCTTCTAGGACACGTTCCTCTCTCGTCCTCCAGCTTCTCTTAGCCGTTCTCCATGCCTGTGCCTGGCTGCCGGTCCTCAGCCTGTCCCAGTGCCTGGTCCTTGGTCCTCGGCTCCCAGCCTCTTAAAGCTTTGCTCTCCTGGCGTTGGCACGTGCCCTCATACAGCTTCCTGGATGCCTCACTGGGCTCACCTCCTGGACGCTGAGCTCACGACTGTCCTCACTGGACCTCTTTTTCCTTGTGATGGCACCTTTCTAATGGCCTGGCCAAGCCAGAGAGGCAAGGCCAGCTCTCATCCTCCATCTCCTGCAGCACCTTCTCGGCCATTAAGCCATCGTGGCTGTGTGGGGTTTTAGTCTTAATGTGATCCAGTTATGCATTTTTATAGTTTTTAAAGGCAAAAAGCTACATAGACCTTATGAAAAATAGCTGTGGCCCTCCCCTCCATCTATTCCCCAGAGGAATGGCTTTCGACTTTTACACGTCTCTTCCATTGCTTATTTCCAACATGCCTCTACTACCGTTTCTTGCTTTTAGGTTTTAGACGTTATCTCTTGAATTTCCACTCTGGCAGATGAGGGTTTCGCTAGGATGCCGTTCTACAAACCCGCCCGCTTGTACGTACTCACACACACCATCCACAAACTCAGACAGACCCACACACGCCAACACCCCCTACCCCATATGTACTCTCACACACACACACACATGCAAACACACACTGCGCCCCACACACCCCATATGCACTCACACATCCCACACACATGAGACACCATACCACACGCCTCCCATGCCCTATACACACTTAAACCCCCCAAACACAGACACTGCACCCACACACCCCACGCATGTGGACGTCCCCCACAAACAACACACCTCACACACTTCGTAACCCCCACACAAACACCACACACACATAGGCACTGCACAGCCCAGACACATTTACACAGAGCTCATAAACACACACACACCACCCACCGATGCAGACACTGCACTCACACACCCGGTACCTCCCCCGCACCATGCTCACGCTCCCCAGCGCCCTACACACTCCACCTTCCCCCTCCATCTTCCATTATGATTAAATAATAATTTGGGGTTATATTAATATTCAGTGTTTTCATTATTATAACTCTATAAATATTAATCACAGCTGAGCCATGTAGAGTTTTATAATTTCATTTACCTTCTTGTACAACTTTTTGTTTTCCCTGGTTTTCTAGGTACCTATGATTAATTCATGGCTAACCTCGCTCTGCCAGGAGTAGACATCTCCTAATCTCCGAACGCTCTGCGCTATCAGCTTTTCTGTCAGCTTCATTTCCTCCTGGAGGCGTCCGCCTAAGCCCCTCCAAAGCCCCCTGCCCACCTGCTCCTGTCCGGATCACCCGACTGCTCCTTGACGCCTTCTCCATATAAATGAAGCCGCGGCTCCCAAATGACAGGATAGAGCACAGTTTGGAAATTGTTCTTCCTGCCAGAGGAGCTGAGGCTTCATAGCACAGTGGAAAGGCAAGTTCTCCTGACAGGTGGTACCAATCGTTTGTTCAGGAAAAGTGCTGTTGGGGACAGGATAGTTTCTGTCACTTCTAGGTCACTGGGAGATGGTCCCTTCTCATGTGTTTTGCAAATGCCTCTTCCAGTTAAAGTTTAAATGGCCTTAATCTGTGGAGCTTCTGCTTCACCTCTGATCCTGTCCCCTTGTGGGAACGCTCTCAGAGGAGAGGGAGGGGACAGGGCACCCTCAGACTCACTTCTGTGCCCGGAGGCTGAGGCCTTTCTGCTGTCCTGCTTTGGGGACCCTGTGCCCCAACAGGTGTCTTGGCCCGTGCTCGTCCCTGCTCCTCCTCATCATTCCACTGCTGGGCCCTCTCACGGGGTTCTTCCTTCTGCCCATATATTTAGACTATTTCTTTCAAGGTTTGTGGTTTGTTTTTGTTTTGTTGTGTTTTATTTTTAGCCAGCTCTGCATACATCATTATTTTAATCTTCTGTTAAAAGCTGCTCCCTTTCACCCCTCAATTCTTTCTTTCACTCTGCTCAGAATTCCTTTTTATTAATGAAGTGCCCCAAACTAAATAGTGTACAGCTGCCATTTCACCCAGGGTCTATGGACTGGAACAAACAGTTCCCTGTTTTATAACGTAATACTTCTATTTATGCCGTGCGCGGGGATTGCTTTCCTACACCATTGGCTTCTGGGTTTCTCTCGCTTAATGCGTATTATGTTTTTTTTTTTCCCCTCCCTCAAGTGTATGAGGAACGTCAGTGGAGTTGAGCGACTTCCCTTCTGTATGTCAAAATCCTTCTGTGTTGTCTTTGGCCTGTAGTCATGTTTTTTCTCTGCAGGCGTCCCTCCCCGGGCCGCTCCCCTCCCACACACGGCTCCAGTTAGGCCAGTACTCTTGACTGGTGCCAGGGGGACAGATTATTAGGTGATGTTCCTATTCACATTAACACGAACTCAGTTCTGTTGTAGAAATGCCTTTGGGAAACATCACCTTAAGATACATCCTCCCTCCTCCAAAAGAAGATATATTTTGGCCTTAAAAACTTGAAAGAATATCTTCAAGAAAAGGGACATGATGGGCCTGGTAGAATTGGGATATTTAAGATCATCAACTTCAAATTTTATGAACATAAACTTTCTAGAATAGTCTCAATCCTGTCCTCTTTAACATAAGGATCAAGACATTATTCTTTGGCTAGAAACAGTCAGCGTGTGGCATGAGGAAGCGTTAGGAAGTCTTGGAGCACCTTATGGGAGCCCTGTCTGCGCCAGCTGGAAGCCACAATGTCAATGGTTGTGCTTTCTAGAGCTGGCAGTTCTGGCTTTTGTCATCCTGGTGAACTACGGTGTTCTTTCTCCTTTCCTTCCTTTCTTTCTCCTCTGTTATCCACATACCACAAAGTTTTACATATGCACCATCAGAAATAACTTCCTTTCCCTTCTGAGCTCTGGGCTTCATACCCTCGTCTCACACCACCTTCTATGGGTAACAAGATTTCCTTGCTAAAGCTGGAGGAGTGAGCTCTACAACAGTTTCCTCTCCCCACCGAGGCAGTCTTATTTCGACCTGGACTTTTGATTATTGGCTTGAGTGTTTTTTCTGCAAGAACAAGTAGTCTCTTGACTTTGTCAGGGTTGGTCATTTCATTTTAGCCCTACCTGCACACAGGTGGCAGCAGCTTATTGCCGCGGGCCGACGAACTGGGCCCCAGCTCGCAGTTGCTGGCATTGGCTGTTTGCTTCCCCTTAGTTGACCAGAAGCTCTTGAAAGATGGAGAGCTCTCAGAGGTGGGTCCTGTGTGGGATCAGCTTCCCTGTTTGCTTATTAAAAAGGCATTTCTGGCTCCTGGGTGAAACTGTAGTTAATTTCACAGTATCAGTGCCCTGGGCTTCGAGAATACAGGAGGCCCTTTGTGTTCCTGCTGTTGGCCTTTCTCCTCCTTCTCCTCCTCCTGCTCCCGTTTTCTCTCTCACTCCCCTTGCCTCAACTACTTTTTCTTTCACAAAGACATAGCTCTAAACTTTGAACATGTGTAATTAAATTTAGCAATTCTTTATGGCGGGCCTACTATATATAAGACGTTTTATGAGCTGGGGGACACAGTGGATGTCTCCTCTCAGCTCTTGGTTTGGATACACCGGTTAAGACGCCAGCTCAGGCATTCGAGGTAATTGGACACTGACTCACTTCACACAGGGCATGATCATTCAGAGTTTAAAAGACTGTTTTGCTTGGAGCAAAAGATGGTGTCCCCCTTTCCTGACACATGTTTGGCATCCACGATAGTGAATTCCTGGGGTCAGAAAGGTGGAGACAGCTTCCCAAGTGATGATGTCATCTGGGTGGCAGCCTTTACCGAAACACTCACTGGCTTCGTTTGATGGATTATTTTTTAAAATCAAGTTTTAGGGAGGTGTTCCACTTAACTTATACAGGTTAAAAGAACAAAAAAATATACCATGTTCAGCTTTCTCGTTTGGTTTTGTTTTTATTTTTCAAAATTGGCGTAAGGATACCATCTGAATATGAAGTTCATCTTTTTTGGTAA